AACCAGAGAAAGATTCTGGAATCTGTCTTTCTTAATTCCCTATATCCAGCATCACTTATCATTGCTTACTCTTCTATATATTTTTCACTACTTTTCACACTTGTTTCTCTTCAGGGCAGTGTTACCTAGTAAAGAGAGCACTGGAGACCTGGGGTTATTTTTCTGATTCTGCCATTAGCCTGTTAGATCTTGGGCAAGTCACTTCATCTCTCTGTACCTCAGTTTCCTCATCTGTACAACAGGGATAATGATGCTGACCTCCTTTGTAAAATGCTTTGAGACCCACCGATGAAGAAACTATGTGGTATTATTTATTACTTAAGATTGTTGCCTTCATGAGGCATCACCAATATGTTTATTTAGACACCAGAGACATAATCAACTCTCATCTCATCTTCCTAATATACTCATGTCAGACACGGGACATTTTCCAACTATTTTAACCCTTTACTATTCAGTGGACAGGCAGGGTCGGCTCTAGCATTTTTGCCGCCCCAAGCAGCGCAAAAAAAAAAAAAGACTGCAATCGCGGCAGCAGCTCTACCGCCGTTTCATTCTACGGCGGTAATTCGGCGGCAGGTGCTTTGCTCCCAAAGGGAGTGACGGCCCCGCCGCCAAAAGGGCCGGACGTGCCGCCCCCCCCTCTTCATTGGCCGCCCCAGGCACCTGCTTGCTAGGCTGGTGCCTGGAGCCGGCCCTGTGGACAGGTTCCCTGGCTATGGACAATTTAAATCCTATATCGCATTGGCGTTATAAACCAGTGGAACTGGGATTTAAGGTGTCCACAGCTACAGAATTGGGCAGGATTGAAAATGACCCACGCTACTAGGTTTTCTAGCTGAAAAGCCAAAATATCTGGGTTTAACATTTGAATTCACTGAAAAGAAATCCTTGTCATATAGACAGCTACTTTTTACAGAGGGTGCACAGGTTGGTAGAGATGTGAGGGGAGAGTAAAGGTTGGTTTGGAGTCTCTTAATATTGCAATTCTATCCTTTTGATGTTAGGAGGTTAAGTGTAATCTTAAATTTGAATTTTCAGGCTTTTAGTTATAGATTATAGGCAGGGGTGATAGCATCACCTATGATTAAGGCTCCTCAATAGCTTTTAAACCCTGTTTTCAGTTGCTTGTAACTTTTTCAGTCCCAACAGTGAAAGTTTTGCAATTTTCCATTCCGGGTATCTGCTTCAAGCTGTTTATTTTTTTTTAAATTTCAGCCAAAATGGTCCAGTTGTTTCTGAGAATTAAGCTAGGGAAATGATGTTTTGCCCATGTTTAAAAAATTGTGGAGATTTTTTTCATTGAAATGCTCTAGTGCCCCATGCTTTGGAGCAGGAACTCAAAACTTGGTAGAGGGGTGGCATGTTCATCAGGGATGTGCCTTTTGCCATGCCTGTGAAAACTGGCTCAAAATTTGCAAAGTTATAAGTCTTTGAAAAATCTGTTTGTGCATGCTTTGTAGAGACTTGCTAGCATTTAACAACTAAAATCTCTGAAGAGTCCTTTTTCACTGAGGGTGCTCAAGCCTCTCACAGCTCCTAGTGCTGATTGGACTATGTATGCATGATCCTCACAGAGCAACTGAGCATGTTCCAGCCCAGGGCTATGAGCACTCAAAAGGACTTTCCCTGTAATTGCTGTTCTCAGCAGTTGATTTTGCAACTTTAATAATATTTGGCTGTCTCAATTGTTTCAATGGCCTATAATGAGAGAGACACAATCTCTTAGGTAGTTTGGTGGTCACAACCACTAGAGGGCTTTAGAAATTAAAATAAAGACCTTGAATTTCACCTGAAAGCTCATGCTGATTTTGGGGAGCATGTATAATCTACTACGCCTGTGTGCAACCATATTCAACATTAACTGCAGTTTGAGTGTTCTTAAGGGTAGTGCCATCTTCAGTGCCTTGCAAAAATCCTATCTAGAGGGGTGACCAAGGCATAAATAGTGTCAAGGTCACTATTATGGTGAAATGTCACAAGTATCTAATCAGATTAAGAAATTAAAGGTACTTCTGGCTACAGGTAATATCTAAGCATCTAGGAGCACATCCAAATTGAGTATTTATTTGACCAAGTGGAAAACCAATGTAATGATGGGGATAAAAATTCCCCATGCCACCCAGTATCGCCTCTGTCTTGTCTGGATTGAGTTTGTCAGTTTGCTCATCCTAGCCCCTATCTGGCCTAGACAGTAGGGATAGTCCATCAGCCACAGCAAAGTCTTATCATAAATTGTTGTAGTGAAACAGTGAATATTATGGCAAATTAGGGAAATTATAACCATAGGCTCATACTTGCCTTACAGATGTTGACGTGTCCCATACTAGCTCCCTGATATACAGGATCTGCCATAAAATAGTAATGGGAAAACTAAAACTGTCAAACATTTCCTGAAACCCTATAATTTTAAGGATGAACAGGGCTAATTGGTTAGTGGATGACATGCTGGGTGAAAAAGGCAAGAATGCCTGTAACTGACTATTCTTGCAACTGATTGAACAGTACAGTTACCTATCACCTTGGGATAATGCTGAGGCATCACAATCCAGGAAGAAATGGATGATCTTGAAGACTGGAGTAATAGAAATGGCATGAAACTGCACTTAGGGACTAATAACAAGAATTTCTGTTGTAAGTTGGGGGCTCATCAGTTGGAAATGACCAAGAAAAAGCTGGATGTATTTGACTACAAGCCACCATTCTATGTAACTATGTGCTATGGCTGTGAAAAAGGCAAGTGTGATCCTAGGATGTATCAGGCAAAGTATTTTCAGAAGAGAGAGAGAAATATTAATGCCATTGTACATGGCACTAGTAAGAGCTAATCTGGAATATTGCATACAATTCTGGAGACCCATGTTCAAGACAGACATTCAAACTGGAACAGGTGCAGAGAATTGCTATTAAAATTATCAGGGAGACAGAGCCATCTTACATAAGGAGACTAAAAGAGCTTGCCTTGTTTAACTTAAGGAAACAAAAGCTAGGAGGGGATATGATTGCTCTCTATACATACACGAAATGAGGAAACAGCAGGGAGAGAGAAGTTATTTAAACAGAAGGAAAATGTTGGCACAAGAACACACGAGTATAAACTGGCTATGAATAAATTTAGGATGGAAATTAAGAGTTTCTAATTATCAAAGGAGTGAGGGTCTGAAACAGCTTTCCAAAAGTAGTGGGGGCAAATAAACTAATTAGTTTTAAGATGGAAGTTGATAAATTTATGCATGGGAGTTACATAATGAGGTTACCTGCAATCACAGGGGACTAGACTCGATTGATCCAGGAAATCCCTTCCAGTCCTATCTTCCTAAATCCAGAGTGTGTGGGGTGGAAGGGCAATGATATCTGTAATTATTGACTGTATTCTTGTAACTAATTGCCAATTATGTTGGGTATTAGTACTTGGATTCTCAGCTGATGATGGTAAGGCCTCACAACCCTGTCTCAGAAGATTCAAAAGAAAAAACCCAAAGACATCCTTTTATTGTTGTGGGTTTGAAAATACTATCTTAGCTAACATTTAACCTTTATATTTGCTGTAATTTTTTTTCAAATACTTGGTTAAAGTGTTTGTTAATTTCACTAGATGTTTCAAAATAAAACAAATTACAGAGCACTTAAATTCATATAGTGATGTAAGTGGAATAAAGGATTTAAATTTCATGACAAACTATTTAGTTTTATTTATGTATATAAACAATAACTGTGGATATGGCAGTGATAAACGCAAGACTATTCAGTCAGTTGATATGTTTTATGTACCAAATATACACTGGTATCTGGCAATGGCGTTCTCCAGAGAGAGGCTGGAGCAGAACCTCTTTTTAGGAAAATGGACACTGGAGAAACAGGGAGAGCATATAATGTAAAAAGGCTTTTAGGAGCGCAGTATGAGAGGGCCTAAATTCAGAAGCACTGTGGTCCAAAGCATACCTGACAACATCTTGCTTCTATGGGAGGAGAGGCTGCTTCATTACCAGCCAGTCATTGATTTACCTGGGTTGGTACTGTGGCTGGAGGCTAGCAATTCTTGTGCCTGTGTAAACTGCTGTTGACTCTTGCTGCTCAAGACAATACAACTTGTGCAATGAAACCAAATGTTTTCAACACAATTGCTGTACAGGAGGTTGACATAAACATGCTTGTTTTCACAGATGCTTCTTGGGTGAGAGGGGCAGCATATTAGAATAAGAAGTTACCCTGGTTCTGTGGCAGCTATGAAGGACAATGAGCGATTGGCAGCTGGGGCACACAGGACCAGCAGAACAGCTGCTGATGTTAGGTTAAGAGCTGGTTGCACTGGCTAAATCCAGTGGAGGAATGTGGATGAGAACATGAGGAAAGGTCAAGAAGGGGCCACCAAAGGCCTTAATTCACAGCAGTTTTCCTTTCCAAGCTACATAAGGAGAGATAAATGGGGTTAGGAGAGAGAATGCAAAGAGCTTCTAGAGCCTGGACAGCAGGGCACGGATCCCCTCTGCCTGCGTCCCAAGCCTGCTCCCTGTCTGAGCTCTGGGCTTTACCGCAGTAACACGCAGCTCCCCGCAAGTGGCCCCCGGAGGCCAGTCACCGGCCGGGCATTGCCTCAGTTTCCGCAGGGTTTAAGTGTCCGAATCTCCAGGGCCGCGAGGAGACGCTGCTGTGACGTCAGCTCTTTCTAGTGAGGGGCCAGCGCTGCACAGGGATTACTGCACCAGCTCCGGGCCCACGGGGCGCACGGCTCAGCCCGGCGTCCCCTCGGCTTCAGCCCAGCCTCGCCAGTCACCTCCCAGGGGCTGCTGCCCTCGGGACCGCGGGGGTTAAACTTCTCCCAGAGCCGATTCCTCCGCCAGCAGCCCGGCGCTTTGGCTGCGTCTGGGTCTCTGCGCTCAGGCTCCTCCCCCTTGTCCTGGCCTGAACCATCCAGCAACAACGCTACCCACTCCGCGCCACCTTGTCCTTCTCTGACGTAATCGCCGGGCGCCGGCAGAGAGGTGGGGGCTGTTGCCTGGTTACGCCTGTCATCCCCGTGCGCCGCCGTCCTCTTCCCCTCTCTCCTCCCGCACCAATCGCTCTGTGTGAGACACAGAAAACAAGCGGACCCGAGGCGCGAGCTGTAGCCCGGACCGGCCTCCCCAGCGCCCCCTCCCGCCACAGCCGTAGGGCTCCGGCCGAGGAGGTACCGGGCACCCACGCGTGGCGGCTGCCGCCCGCCTCTGCCTGCGGAGCGCCCCGCGCAGAGACTCACACATGCCTGAGACCAGAGTGGGAGCGGCGCTGAGCCCGGCCGCCTGGGTTCCCCGCGCTGCCTGGCTGGGGCCCTAGCAGCGCCCCGGCCGCTGGAGCCGGGTGCGGCGGCTCCCGGTGCCCGAGTGTATGAGAGGGAGCGCGGAGCGGGGGCCGCGGCCCGAGCCACTCGCCTCCTCTCCCGGACGGCGGCAGCAGAGAGACCGGCCCGGGGGGAAGCGAGGGGGCAGCGGCTCCATGTGAAGAGACCCGAACACGCACGTGAACCGCCGAGCAGCCCCCCGGAGCCGGGAGGCAGCGAGAGAGACTCGGGGACCCGGCAGCCGAGGGGGGCTGACCTGTCTCTCACTAAAGTTTCCCGGACACGCTGTGCCTCTCGGGACCTGGCGTCCAACTTACTGTGAAGTCCTAGAGTCCCCGCAGGGAAGCGGATCCCCCTGTCCCCGGCACAAGGGTGAGCTTTAGCCGCCCCCTGTATCACTGATAGCGTATCTGCTGCAGCCAGACAGCCAAAGGAGGGAAACTTAACGCGCCGCTGTTGCTGTTCCTAAGGTGAGTGTGGGTTGGGTGGGTGGGTCGGGAGGAGGGTCTAGTTCTGCTGGTCTCTGCTCCGCGCTGCTGATGACTTTCCAGGTGAAACACGTGGATGCAAAGACCCGCAACCCCTGTGAGCATGGGCTGGGGACTAAGTGGGAGCATGCGGCTCAGTCCCTCCCGGCGGGGGCGCACCGTCATCGCAGCAGCCCCGCCCGAGGTATCCCCTGTTTCACATGCGCCTCACGTTGCCGGGAGCTTTGCACGGTCTGCTGAGCTAAGTGACCCTCCCGAGAGTGCAGCTCTTCTTGCTTATGCGAGAGAGAGAGACACCGTAGGGAAATCCTTATATTAAATCAATTCCTATCCTGCCACTTTTCACCTTGAGAATTAGGCAGTCTCGGCTTTGTAAAGAGTTACTACAGTGAGAGGGGCTGATAGCGTCCAATCAAAAAACGAGTTTGGGAATTAGTTCCCCTTTAGAAACTTGTACGTCTCGCTTTGAACTTGCTGCAGCAAGGAACAGCAGAGAATGTTACTGAAGTCTTGAACAAAGACCACGGTTTTTAAAACGACTTTGAATCTCCTTCCATTCACTATTGTTTTATGTAAAATCTTAAGAGCTTAACAGAACTGTGCTTGTACTTTATCAGGATGTCTTGTACACCAGAACTGAAAAATACAAGCATCTGTAAAAGCCACAATATTTTAATGGAGGGATTTTCAAACTCTTATAGGGTGGGATTCATCTTAATAGATTGTGGATTCCTTCTATGCACAGTTGCATAACATCCCTCTGGAAACTGCTGTAATTGCTTGCATGAAAAAGTAATATTAGGCAAGTATTTAATGCATTTTAGCTGGATTTTAATACAGTTTAGCAGTTGGAAATAAGAAGGAAGAGCTAGCACCATGTGTCTAATCATCTTTCCACACAATACCATCAAGTGCTCCATGGGTCTCAGTTTGGAAATCCTATACTGGGTATTGAGCCTTAGTATACAGAGTGTTTTTATATTGCTACCCTACAAGTTACTGAAAAGGATCTGGTTGCTTGAGTAGCATATCTTCAACCTTATTTGCCAGCAGTTCAAGTTGCTGCTAAATTAAATAAAAAACATTTTATCCCACCATACAGGCTTTGAAAAATGGAAATCACTCTACATTCTGCCTTATGGAGAGCTACATACTGTACATATTAATTTGGTTTGTCTAAATTGGGCTTACACATAGACTATATGCAAACCAAGAACATCTGTAACTATCATTTGAATGGTATTTCAGATCTAGTTTCTGAATTAATAACATTGGGATAACACTGGTGTCTGCAACTGTTTATAGGGTATTTTTCCTAGCTGTCTTTCTGAAAGAGAAAATGGAAAACCTTTATGTTTAACTAACACTTTTAACTGAATGGAGAATAAACAGGTTGACCAACTTTATCTAGATTTATTTTTGGAGAGTGTTGTTGACTTCCCTCCTACATTTCCCTCCAATCAGCTTTTACTTTCTCCTCTTTCAATCCTACATTGCAGCAGTTGACCTTCCATCAGAGAGGAATGTATAGGATCTACTAAATAGTGCCTTTTTGGAGTGTTAATATAAATTGTCATGCTTTTTGTCTAAAAACTTTATATTTCTATCATCACTGTCAGCTAGGATTACTTCAACTGAAAGATTAAAGAGAAAAAAAAAAAACCTTGATCTGGTTTTTTTGTTTGTTTGCTCTAAGCATTTGACTGTATTACATGTATACCTACTGTACCCGTATAGTCAGTTTCTCCAGTTGTTTAAAGGTCTTTCACCAGGAAGAGAGACACTTTAAAAAGTGATTGTAAAACCTAAAAAATTGCTTGAAGAATACTAGAAATTTCTTAACTCCTTTTTTTGAGACAAAGTCACCTTGAGGTGAGCAATACTTTCTTAAACAACAGGAGCATACAACACTTACTGCATTAAGGACATTCAGGAATTGAGTGATGCCTCAACAACACTTCCAGCTTCTGCTGACTTACAAGGCCAAGGTACCAGAAGTTGAATGAGTTTCCTTCAGTGTAGAGCAGGGGTCGGCAACCTTTCAGAAGAGGTGTGCCAAGTCTTCATATATTCACTCTAGTTTAAGGTTTCGTTTGCCAGTAATACATTTTAACGTTTTTAGAAGGTCTCTTTCTATAAGTTTATAATATATAACTAAACTATTGTTGTATGTAAAGTAAAGAAGGTTTTTAAAATGTTTAAGAAGCTTCATTTAAAATTAAATTAAAATGCAGATCCTCCCCCCAGACCGGTGGCCAGGACCCGGGCAGTGTGAGTGCCACTGAAAATCAGCTCGCGGCCACAAGTGTGCCATAGGTTGCCTATCCCTGTTGTAGAGGATTAGTAGGATAGTCAGTGTCTTCTTATATTTAATTTATGCATGTGCTTAAAGCAACATGGTTTAGTTCAATCTGACAATAACACTTCAACTTCCTTTGACATAAAGCTGTGTCAATATCCTGAATCCAAATTAAGTTTAACTTCCTCTCTTTCATTATTGTCTCTTTATAGCACCTTTTTGCAATGGTCAGATTGTTAGCTGTATTTTTTTTAAATTGCACTCATATTCTGCATGGTCCATGCTTGTAAACATCTTGATTCTGTGAAATCATTATTAATAAAATGGATGTATTTATATATTTTACAAAACTGAAAATGACTTGGATTTTTAGCTGCTTCGGTTGTCTTAACTTTTTAATTCCTCCCTACAGTGTACCCACTGCTTTCTGATAGTCTTGATATTGTGCTGGCTTTCTCTCTTTTGAAATTAAATTTGAAAGCTATTAGAAAAGGGAGGGCGTTAGAGGTCCCATTGTAGGTCTGTCAGTTTCAACAATGTGTGCAATTTTATTTGGTTGGCTTTTTAAAAAAAGAAAAAAGCTTATAACAACACATGAAGCATCACCACTCAGGGTACTCCAATCCTGAATTTAATCTAATATTTGGGCACACTGGCTGTTACTCTTCAAAACATCTATCCATTAACTGAATTTATGTATGTAGTACAGGTCTGTCGCATCTTACGCGCATTTAACATGCGCGAGTTCAGCTTTACGCGGTCGGCAAAAACAAAACGAAAAAAAAAGAGAAAAATAACAATTTTAATACTGTACCTGTAGTGCAGGCGATTCCGCCCACCACTGAACTCAATGTAATTTTGACTATATGCGGTTTTCGCTTTACGCGCTAACTGCGGAACGGAACCCCTGCGTAAGATGAGACAGACCTGTACTTGAATATCTGAAATCAACATGAAGCCCTTGAAGATACCTGAACATCTATAATACTTTTGTGTCAGTGTATGCACAACTTCATTTTAGAGAAGGAGGAAACAGTTCAATTGATGATGGTGGTGTCTAACAGAGCAAACGTTACATTTTAATTCCATTTCCTGTAAATAAACTAATTACGTGCTGGGTTGTATTGTTTTAATGTGTTTAGTAAATTCATGAAAGATGATGGAACCACCTGGATTGAAATCTCCTGTTTATTCATAAAACAGATAAATTGTGTTTATTCATAAAACAGATAAAACAGATGTGAGCAGTGGCAGTGCAAACTTCTACTTACTGTCTTGGCCTCACTTCTGATTTCTTAGGAGCGAAGCCTTTACTTTTTCGGTTCTAGGTCTCTCTGCGACTGCCACAAAGTGTGCCAATTATGATAGATATTTTTCAGATCAACCTGTGGAACTCTTTGCGAGAGGATGTTGTGAAGGCCAAGACTATAGCAGGGTTCAAAAAAGAACTAGATAAATTCATGGAGGATAGGTCCATCAATGGCTATTAGCCAGGATGGTGAGGGATGGTGTTCCTAGCTTCTGCTTGCCAGAAGCTGGGAATGGGTGATAGGGAATAATGGACCACTTGATGATTACCTGTTCTGTTCATTCCTTCTGGGCCACTATCAGAAGACAGGATACCAGGCTAGATGGACCTTTGGTTTCACCCAATATGGCCGTTCTTATGAGATGTGATCACCTGTTTGGTATTCTTAGTCCAGTTCCTAGGGAACAAATTTTCATTTTACATAGGTCAGCGCATTTAAGGTAATATGTAAACAAATTATCTGTCACAAAGCAGCTCTTCTCTCTTTGCTTTAGCTCCATGTGCAGATATTGATGGATCTGCAAATAAATGTAGCAGCAGCCAGAAAATTCATTACCCACATCAAAAATACACAGTTCCTTCTTTAGAAGGTTTTTCTGCCCAGGTGTCAAGATGGAAAATTATGGCCTTACTGGCATAAATATATGATTTGAAGGAACTTGAGATGGATTTTGGCGGGGCGGGGGAGGATGCTCTCTTGAATTCTAAAATGGTCTGGGGGGAAAATGTGAAATGTCACACTTGAAAGAAACATTTTGATTTATATTGCATTCTGGCTTGCTATTTTTGTGGGATGAGAGGGCAAGATACTCTGTCAGTGGTTCTTTCCAACAAGACCTGTGTTAATCCTATACCAACATATAGTGTACCAGTAAGCATTTTTTGTGTCTACCATATCTGGTTCTGGTTGCCAGTCCAGGTCTGGCTTTTGCCTCTTCCCCTTCTATCAGATTTAAACAAACATGATTACAGGTCTAGAAAACATGACCTATGATGGAAGATTTGGGGGGAAAAAGAAGGGGGGGGGGAGTTGTTTAGTTTGGAGAAGAGAAGACTGAGTGGGGACATAACAGTTTTCAAGTGCATAAAAGATTGTTAAAAGGAGGAGGAAGAAAAATTGTTCTCTTTAACCTCTGAGAGTAGGACAAGAAGCAATGGACTTAAATTGCAGGAAGGGCAGTTAGGTTGGACATTAGGAAAAACTTCCTAACTGTCAGAGTGGTTAAGCACTGGAATAAATTGCCTAGGGAAATTTGGAATCTCCGTCATTGGAGGTTTTTAAGAGCAAGTTAGACAAAAGCCTGTCGGGGTAGTCTAGATCAGTGGTTCTCAACGTATTTACCATTGTGGGCCGCATTCAACACTACCTGTATG